AAATACAATTTTAGTTAAAGAGTTAGTATATCTCACTCTATAAATAACTATTAGATGTAGTTAATGTAATTGTTAAATGGCTTAGCTCTCTTACAAATAAAGATGTAAAATATGTCAACTAGGCTTTCATGATACTAAAATACTGTGGCAAGAATATTTTGGCAATAAAATTGGTTTCCAAATAGAGTATACAAGTGATTTGTATTCAAATTTTGTAAAGTTAGCTTTCATAACTTAGGAACCTGGGTTCAATAGGACATATGCAATCTTCATTGTTTAGGGGAAAGGTTGCTATTGTTTTGATCTGAGGTGATGAATTAATATACCCCTTTTTTATGTTTCCTTCTTTGAGGCTATTTTCCCCCAAACACTATCTTACTGTGTTCTGTACTATTGAACTATTATTTAAAGCAAGTGGATTATACACCTAAGAGTTAGTTACAAAGCACTGACTTTTGTATTATTTTTGGATACAGCATACGTCTTTAGTCTGGTTACATTAGTGACCCTTCTGTTCTTCATTTCCATGAACCTCTGAATTTGCTGCCCAGATAAAAATCTAAATGATACTTCTCTTTAACTCATGCATACATACATATAGCAACAGATTTATAATTAGGTAAAATGTGTTTTACTTTTTCAGTCTGTCAAAAAATTAAAAACGCTTAACTTTAAGTTATTTCTCTAGAAATAGACTTTGTCTTTCTCAGCATTTTGAGTAATTACTATAGCAAAGCAGTCAAAGCTAGGTTTATTATATACTTGGTAACTAATTTGACAGCTAAACTAACCATGGGAAACATTATTTTTCTTGCCTACCACTTTTGCTAGTATAAAGTAAGGTCCTAAGAAGTTGAGCTTTTATTTCTTTTCAACCTCTTATTTTTAGGTAAGTTTAGCTTTACAGAGGAGTTGCAAAAAAAAAGTACAGAGTTCTTTATATGTTATGTTAATCTTCCCCTTGTGTTAAACTCTTACGTAATCATAAAACATTCACAAAACTAAGAATTAGTCTTGATATAATACTATTAACTAAAGTAGAACATTAATTTTGACCATCTGTTTTTAGAGGAACACTATTAAAGGGTAGTTCTTGAGACGTATCCTAGTTTTTGGTAATTTAAGCCAGGAATTTATAAACCATTAAAAATATAAATTGAAATCAATCTACCATAGACAAATGTTTATAGATCAAAGGTGTAACTTCTTGTTCTAACCATATACTGGCACAGGACTGTAAAGATCTATTTTATTATTTAAATTTTATACCATTGATTTTAATTTTTATCATGTATAATTTCTTTTGTTTGGTTTTCTTTAGACAATTCTTCAGCCATCTTATGGTAAAGAGAACCTTAAAGAATTCTTGCAAATACATTAAGTGACTTTCGATGATTGCTCTGCCACTGCTTGCTTTTTAAAAAAATCAGTCATTCTCCAGTTTGAAAATGCTTGTCATGCATACACGCACAATAAACTTTTTAAAAACTCGTGTACAGGTGTAATGTCAGTTTTAGTGCATTTGGGGATGTGCTCTTATAACTTTTTTTAACAGCCAGGTACTTTCAAGTTATCAGAACATTAATGAGTGTTTTTGTTTCATTACAAATTACTTTTGATCTAGAACTCATATTTGGTACTTGATTTGATTCTGTTGCTTACATATATAATTTCTTGTCCTCAGTTCTAAAATGGAAAAACTAAGTCCGTCTTGTTTTTAGGTTTTGTTACCGTTTTGGGGGGTTTATAGCTTTTTTTTTGTTGTGTGTTGTATTCCCCCCCCCCCGCCCCCCCATATATTTTCTTGTTTGTTGGGTAGTTGGGAAGTTTGTTTTTTACCTGATTACTTTCTTACTGTCCAATTATCTTACAGCTTAAACTCATCTGGAATTGCTGCATGGCCTGCCTTGTTAAGTAAGGGTAGGTGCACAGGGGTATATGTGTGACATTATCCTTAAAATAGTGGGCTTGCAAAGTTTTCTTCTGTGTAGTTATTGTTTGATGTCAAGTTTTTATGTAGTTCTTAGTTGTGAGTAATTCATTCAAGAACAGTTTTCTGAACAGCATATTTTTAAATGCTAATTAATGACATTTTAGTTTTCCAATTTACAAGGTCATTTAATGTCTATTAAAATGAAATAAAACTTCCAGCCTTAAACATTTTTATATTAAAGATGGTGTCAAAATAACCTGCCATTCATTTTTGATTAAGCTATTTATTGTCCACATAATTGGATTACATTATCTTTTTTAAGGCTGATAATTTGAGTAAAAGTACTACTGGTGGCAAGCCTGGGAATAGGGAAACCTCTCTCCTTGAAAAATGGGTCTATTAATGCCTTTTTAAAATGCTTATCCTTTCCTTCACAATGCTTATTTCAGTTTGCAGTTCCATACTTTATTTATTTCTATGATTAATTTGTCAGTGTCTGTATCTTCTCATAAACTGCATATAACTTTATTTGTGTTTGGGCCAGTCATTTTATCCTCATTTTTTAATATTTGGCATGTTGGTTGGCTTTTGTAAATATCAAGACATGCAGGACTTGTGATGACTCAGTCACTGTCTAAGGACTTCAGTGAATATGAACTTGATCCTCATGACAACCCTATCAGGTAGGTTCTATTAGTATATAACAGGAGAGAAAACTGATTTATGGCACAGGTTGAATAACTTGACCTAAGTCAAAATGAGTGAGTTGTGGAGTAGAGAATTCAAACTCAGGCATCCTGGCTTTTTGTTCTGTGCTGTTACGTCTGTCATTTGAATTAACAGGCTCCTTAAAACATTGGCACATGGCAAGAAAAATTAGTAACACTGTGTTTGGTCACCAGGACCACAATTTTAGTTTCCTATATTTTGTTAGAAAATAAATTTATAAAATATGTAGTCCTTTTGTCTGGCTGGTTTTGGTTATAACAATAAACTCATCATTTGTGATTTGGCAACTCTTAAGGTCTCTAGTCAAAAGCAGTTGAAAAAAAATTTTTTTCATTGCCATTCTTATAGTGATATGTATTTTGTGTGTAACTCGTAGATGGGAATTCATATCTACATGTTAGAGAAGATGTAATGAAATAACATCAACTTATCTTTGTTTTTGCTATTAATATGAATTAATTTAGAGTGCAACATAAGAAACATAGAAGATTGTAAACCTAGGGACAGATAGCAAAGGATCATTTGCATTTTTTGCGTTTGTCTTCTAGGCCAGGTCAGTGGTTATCAAATTATCAGATGTAGATCAGCAGTATCAGCATCTTAGAATCTATGACAGATGCTATTTTTTTCTTTAACATCAGACCTCCTGAATTAAAACCAGGGTGATGTCCCCAAAATTTGCAGTATATTTTGTGTTTCATTGTGACATACAATAAAGTTTGAAAAACACTAGCAGCATGAGTCTAATTAGGCTGGCTTTTTTTTTTTTTACTTTATCAACTTACATATTTTGTTATTAACCTCTTACCAGATAATATAGTTTACAAAAGTATTTTTTCTCCCGTTTTGTAGGTTGCCTTTTAAATGTTTCTTTTACTGTGCAAAAGTTTTAAATTTTATTGTAGTCCCATTTGTTGGTTTTTCCTTACGTTATTTGTGCTTTAGTTGTCATATCTAATAAATTCTTGCCAATACCCATGCTAAGAAACTGCTTCTCTACGTTTTTTTCTAGGAGTTTTATAGTATCGGGTCTTATGTTTAAGTCTTTATTTAATTTTGAATTTTTTGTGTGTGGTGTAAGATAGGGATCCGATTTCATTGCTCTGCATGAGTTTATCCAGTTTTCCCAGCACGATTTTCCCAAAGTACTCTTTCCACATGGGACGCTCTTTGCTCCCTTGTCAAATATTAGTTGATCATATAAGCAGGGATTAGTTCTGAACTGTAGTCTATTTCATTTGTCTGTGTCTATTTTTCTCACTAGTACCATACTGTTTTTTACTGCTGTAGCTTTGTCACACACCAAGTGTGGTACCTCCAGCTTCATTATTTCTCAGGATTGGTTTGGCTATTTGGGGTCTTTTGGGGTTCCATACAAATTTAACAATTGTTTTTTTTTCTATTTGGTGAAGAATGCCATTGGTATTTTGATGGGGGGTTCCATCGAATATGTAGATGACTGGGTTGTATGACATAGTAGCATTCTTCCAGTCCATAAGCACTGGATATCTTTGCAAATTTTTGTTTGTGTCTTTAATTTTGTTCAGCAAAGTTATGTAGTTTTCATTATAAATATTTTTCACTTTCTTGGTTGAGTTTAGTCCTAGGTATTTTGTTTTTTGATGTTGTGAATAGGATCGTTTTATTTCTTTTTCAGATGTTTCATCTTTAGTGTATTGAGATGAAACTGATTTCTGTATGTTGATTTTGTATTTAGTAATAATTTTTACTAAAATTATTTTCAACAGTCTTTTCGTTGAGATAATGTGTTTAAAATCTCATCATATGTAAATAATGACAGGTTTACTTCTTCCTTTTCTATTTAGATGCCTTTTATTTCATTGTGTTGCCTAACTGCTATAGCTAGTACTTCCGATGCTATATTGAATCAGGGTGGTGGGAGTGGGCATCCTTGTCCTGTTCTTGATGTTAGAGAAAAAGCTTTGTTTTTTTCTCCATTGAGCGTTATGTTAGCTCATTTTTGGCCTTAATTGTGTTGAAGTGTTTCTTCTATATGCAATTTCCTGAGGGTTTTAACCATTTA